CGACTCTCAAAGAGGAGGTCTTCCAAATGCTTAGCCATTCTAGAGAGAACTCAAGGATATTCTAAAGTAAAAAATAAATATGGAAAGTAGGATTGCAAAGAAAAGAGAAGAAGGCTTACGAGAGGCAAAGGGTACGAGAAGAAAACGGAGAGGAGTTGTAGAAATTACGTCGAAGAAGAAATACCGATAGCCGGTCTAGAAGGTTCAAAAATTCGAAAAAGTATGTGTTCGAAGGGACTTAAACTTCAAATCATAATAAATGCGAGAGAAGCACAAATGAGGCGGGAAGGCGTTACAGTGACCGAAAAGTATGTACACGTCCTGACATGCATCGGGAAGAGGATTAATCGCCGAATTTCTGTTTTCCCAAATCAGGAACCAAACACGCCGACTAACTGATGCTAGAAGGGTGTTTGGGGGGCAATTGTGGGAGCCGAATTTTAAAGAAGGCATACTTTAATAGACAGGTATTGCCCGGCACTGTCCAGAACCATCAGGATGCCGAATATAAAGGGTAGATAGGCCGAATAGGTACTGAGCTATAGAGCCGAGTAAATATGAACATAATGAGCAAAAAGTGGACCTGGCCCCAAGGCCCAGGGAACGAGTATAAATAAAGGAATAGCAGACAGCGAAAGGTATGTGAAAATTGTGGTGTTTAATTTAGAATACAAGTAATCTAGAACGAGAGACTGACTTGTCCGTCGGAGTGCTAATTCCGGCACCCCCGACCGGAGTGTTTACTTCCTTTCAGGTGCCTATCGGTGAATCACGAGCGTCCCCTAGGATCAGAAGGGTATTTCTAAAAACCACTTCCCCACAGGTAGCATGTTTTCGTTTCCTTGTTAGTCTTAGGGTTAAGAATACATCTTTTCCTTTTTTGTCTTTGGGTTAAGAGGTCTATATAAACAGCTGTATCCTTTGTATTATGAGATCAATTGAATATATAGAATACAAAAAACTTACAGTAGTATGCTCTTGACTTACTTTGTTGTAGCTAGTGAATTGAAATAATAAATTGCATGCAAATTGGTATTATATATCAATCATTAAAATTTTATAGGAAGGGATACAAGTACTTTACTAGTTAGAAAAAAGAACAGTTTATGACTGTTGCAACTTGAAGTGCTTGCGGCAACATTGTGTTGCCTGCTGTGATACTGATGATCCGATGTAAATTTATGGGACATGGGATATCTTTTTCCGGTCTGCTCCTCTGTCCTTGCATCTTTCCTCAAGGTCAGGACAATCTCTAATGGAAAAATGCTGGAGTGCATTGAGACGTTCTAGACCTTTTGGCAAACACTTCATATTCTGACAATCGGTGATTGCCAATGATCGAAGAGAAATGAGGTTCTCCACCCAATCTGGCAAATCCATGAGGTTTGGACAGCAGCAAATTTCCAGGTTCTGCAAAGTCCTAACGTATTGTAGTCCTTCTGGTAGAGATGGCAGTACTTGACAGCTTAATATACTAAGACTTCGGAGTGCTGAGAGATGCTATAGTTTATCGGGTAAATAGGGCAGATTTGGACAATACATGATTGTCAAGCAGTCAAGGGCTGTGAGGTCCTATATTCCCTTTGGCAGAGAGGCCAGGTTATTGCAGTTCTCTATAGAAAATGATCGAAGGGAATGAGAGCCCCGAATGCCTTCCTCTGGAAAATAGACTAAACTATGGCACTCCGTGATTTCCAAAGACTCTAGAGAGGTAAGGTTTCTAATCTGCTGTGGCAGAGCAGATAGTTCTTCACACCAACGTAAAGTCAATGACTTTAAAGCTCCAAGGTTTTTCAAATTCCATGGCAGTGAACTAAGTTGTTGGCAAGAGCTGATTATCAAAGATGTAAGAGGACTGTTCTGCAACAACCCTTGTGGTAGGTGCAATAGCTTTGGAAAGGAGTCAATAATAAGAGTGGAGAGTGAATTTAGCTCTGCTGCTGACCTGAGTACCCTAGCATTGCAGTTTTGTAGCTCCAAATGTTGAAGAATTGGAAACCGTGGCATGGTTTTGAGTCTAGGACATTCAATGATGGTTAGTCTCTGCAAGCAAATTAAGGCATCTTGTGAATCCTTACTCTCCCATGATTGTAAACTGGGAAAATCTCTGAGGGTTAGTTGCTCCAGTCAAGGAAATGTAGTTCCTCTACCTTCCATGCTGTAGAGCTCACTACCAATCCTCACCACTGCATCTAGTCCTTGCATGTTGAGAACCTTGAGGAAAGGAAGTTGCCCGAGCATAGGAAGCTTTTCACATCTTCTGCAGTTGTTCAAAACTAGCTTTGTAAGATTAGGAAGCATGATGTCGTTCATCCATTGTGGAAACACGGCTCCCGAGTAGCCATTTAGAATTAACTTTCTCAAAGTGTTGTTGGGTTTCAACAAGTTGAGCAAAGTCTTCGTGTGAATATGATCGGTATGATGCCCTTCTAAAGGTTGCCTCGATGGAGAATGATCCGACTTTGCCTCATCATCCCCTCATGATAATCCCAGTGAGTGAAGCTGCTTTTGCTCTAAACACAGGTCTAGTACTATACTACCAACATTCTCCAAATGCTTGATTTTTAACTCACCACGTAGGTCTAGATGCACAAGTTGGAAAAGGCTCTCATCAAATGCAGGGCCAACAATAAAAATTGGCAAGGTCTGCAAATTCAATAAACTTCTCATAGGCGCCAGAATACGAGTGAGTCTTACGCAGTCCTTTATAATCAGATGTCTCAGGTTTATCAATCGTGTTATCCCATTTGGCAAATTCATCAAATTATGGCAGCCTGAGAGATCCAGCGTTTGCAAATTGCAGAGGTTCTCGATCGTAATAGGTAAAGTTTCTAAAATGGTGTTAGAGAGATCAACATACCTCAAATATATCAGGACACCAATTGATTTATGCAGGCTCCTGATCCCACACTGTCTTAAATCTAGCACTCTGAGGCGTTTAAAGACCACAGCTATGATCAGTAGGGCTTTGTCAGAGTCATTTGTTGGAGAGAAAAATCTGAGAGTTCTTAATTGCTTTGCTGCGTACAAAGCTTCAGGAACCCTGTCAGACCAAAAATTGCAGAATATTGATGCATGGCGAGTTTGGGCAAGATTACTACTTGGGTCTGATGAGTGATGAACTTTTGTAGGCTTGACAGAAGCATCATCAAAATCTAGCATCAGGAACTCATTACCTACGACAAATTTTGCAAGGTCGTGAATGAGATCATGCATTGTAAACTTTCATGAATTGTTGTTATCATATTTATTTACAGCTTCGAAGAAAGACATCAACAGCAAATCATTGAAATATTCATTGCCAGTGTCCTCCATCTTCTTGGTAGAATAAGTATCACCAGACAACTGAATCAAGAATTCCGCAATCCACAGGCGTATCAACTTTTCCTTGCTGATCTCAAAATTCTTGGGCAATGTTGAGCAGTATGCAAAGCATCGTTTCAGATGTGATGGCAAATGGTCGTAACTCAACCTCAAAACCGAAAAAATTCTATTCTCTCATTTATCCAGATTCCATAGTTTGCTCTTCTGCACATGTAGCCACTCACTTTCCTCTCTTTTGAAGCGCATCAAACTTCCAAGAATCTTGGCAGCTAAAGGCACCCCTCCACATTTCTTGACAATGTGTTTCCCTATCAGCAGCAAGTTTGGATATCCTGGCTCCTCTCCTGACTCAAAAGATCGTTGCTTGAACAAAGTCTAGCATTCATCTTCGCTTAGGGCTTCCAATGTGTAAGGGTGCATTGTTTTCATTATTGATGAAACTCTTTTGCTGCGGGTGGTGATTATAATTTTGTTTTCACCTGCACCATTTCTCAATGGATATCTCAATTTCTCCCATTCGCCTTGATCATCGGTCCATACATCATCCAACACGAGAAGGTATCGCTTCCCACCGAAGGATTCAAACCGTTGGGACTGTAGTACACCTATTTGTGAGGACTCATGGTTTTGTTTAGTTGTGTACTCCAGAATTTCATTTAGAGACTTTTGAAGCCTTCCAAGCTGACCACTTCACTAGACAACCTCTAAATCTCATAACTAATTGGGTGTTGCCTCTTGTAGGGATAATCAAACTCAACATTGACGGGAGCTCAAAAGGCAATCCAGGACCAGCTGGGTATGGTAGACTTTTCAGAGATGAACGAGGAACTTGGCTATATGGATATCATGGAAAACTGGACGCAGCAACTAGTCCGGAGGGCAAGCTTTGGGCAGTCTATATAGGACTCACAATAATGCTTGAGAAAGGTATGAAGGACATCTGCATTGAAACAAATTCAGCACAAAATGTCAAGCTCATCCAGGATGCATCATCCCAACACTCTCCACATAGGGCCATGCTTGAAGATACCAAATTCCTAATGAAAAGTTGTAACTGCACCATAGCCCATATTCCCGGAGAGGGCAACACAAGTGCTGATGGATTGGCAAATATGGGTGTGAACCACCAAGAATCTTTGTTTTTCTTAATGATCCCCCCACTAAGATTGCAGATCTGCTTGTTGCAGACATTATTGGGGCTTCTTCTTATACTGTCTAAGGAAACTTTGCCTAGCACTCTATTTTTTTTCCTTCCCGTTATCCTTTTTTATGTATTAAAAAAAAAAAAAAAAAAAAAAAAGACAGTGAAAATGCAAAGAAGGTCTTACATTTTTGTCATTTTATTTTTATTTTTATACATTAATTTGTTTTTATTTTTCAAAAATACTTTTTCATGTGTTTTATTTTTTTTAAATTACGTGGCAAATGCTAATTTCTGTTTTTAAATTTTTTTTTTTTTTAATTTGTTTGTTTTTTTGGGAATAAGCTTTTTCATGTAATTTATTTAAAATGACATAAAAAATCATAATTTATTGAATTTATTTTGATGTCTTTTTTCCTGTTTTGTTGTTTTTTATTCATTTTTTAATGTTTTTTTTTAAAATGACGTGGCACATGATAATTTTGTTTTTTGTTTTTTTTTTTTTGTTTTATTTGTTTGACCTTGTTTTTGTTTTTCAAAAAGGTTTTTCTTTTTCTTTTTTTTTTCCTGTTTTTTCAAAGTTAGACACGTCACCAACTAAAAGGGATTATTTCCCGTATAAACACATACATGTTGTACATGATAATATATTTACATACAGCCTCTTCCGCGTGGGTTACCAATGTTAGAAGCCTACGAATATTAGGTGGACTATTATATATTTCCTAACATTCTATTATTACGTAAATACACTAACTTGTCTCGTATGCGAAGTCGCACCAATGCTATATGCGGGTCCTCATCTCCAACCATTAAACCATCATCGTCATGTTCAACTTCTGGTATAGCACTTACTATTGTCATAGCCTCTTCCTCGTCGCAGATGGGATTAACAGTTGTTGGATTACCTGTATTTCGTCGTATATAATTATGTAATGCCATTGATGCACTACTAACTAAACTTGCACATTTGCAAAATCATACCGAGGCATGTCTCTAATAAATCCCCATCAATTTTTCAGGCACCGAAAGTGCATTCCACCATACTGCATAACGACGAGTGAACTTTGTTAAATAATCCCCTTTGGGTGTTTGCCGTCCTGTTCCGTTCACTACTTCGGAATTGTTGATGGTGGTAACGGCTGCCTTTGAAAGGTGCTAGGTAACCTACCCAGTTTGGATAGCTAGCATCGATAAGATAATATTTGCCTGCAGACAGTACCAGAATTTATGACACGAACATCGACATTGTGCTTAATTTTCAAGTAACAATGTTTGACTAAATATTATGTACCCCTATTGATTTTTCAATGCAATGTGTTACCTTCTTTAGGATGTGAAAATGGGACATTATCATTTGTTAGTATCTCGTTGAAGATACAACTATCGTGCATACTTCCTTTCCATCCAAGCGAAATAAAGATGAAACACATGTCAAAATCGCTCGCGGCCATGATATTTTGTGTGTGACAGTATTTCCTATCGAAATATGTTGCCGCATCTGGCCCTGTAACCCGTGTACTTACATGTGTTCCGTCTATGGCTCCGATACAGTCCTGCCAACAACCCAATTGTATTGTTACTCCTACGGGTACATGTAATGGTTATTTTTCATACGTCACATCCACTAAAAAAAAAATAACTGGAAGGCAAACATAATTGGGTGAGGTTTTTAAATAGTACCTTGAACAGTAGGTATTTCCATTTAGACTGCACGTATGGATGTATATGATGCTGACTATATGTGGGCCGGCAATGAACAACAGTGAACTCCTTCATGAAAGTTAATACATTATGCGCGTTTCGGGACACAGTCTCCCCCGAATGTTGAAACCATTCTTGGATTTCTCGATTTTGCAACCCTCTCAACACGTGGATAAACATTGCAACGATTTCTTCAACAGGCACACATCTGACATGACCATGTACTGGAAGTTGCAATAGAGATAAACAAAGACATGCTATGTTTGACAAACATTCGAAAATAACAATGAATCGTAGCAGTAATTAGTTTTCGAAATCCATATTTCAAGTTAAGCATGAACTGAAGAAGTTGATGCACAAGTTTCATAGGAGGGGTATACAAACTCATTATTTTATTCATTTTAATTATTGTTATATTATAGAAAATCGGCCTAGCAATTATGGTTTCACTGTCAAAATGTTAATAGAAAGGTAAAAGTAAATTTCCTTTTCAAACCTGCCAGATAAAAATTCCCATTGGTACTAAATGTTGAAAAAAATGTCAAGAGAGATGCAAGGGATTTGAATAGTAAATGAGTAAAGATCAGTCAATGAGTAAAGATCACAAATTTGAGTAAAGATCAAATTCAGTCAATGAGTAAAGATCACAAATTTGAACAATAAATAAGCAAATGTAACAACTGGATCACCCTTAGTCACCAAGAAAGAATATGGGAAGCACATATAAATACAGAGACTTGTAAGAATTGCTAATAAAAATCTACAATTAGCTAAAAGAACATAACCTCAAGTAATGTCAGATCCTTGAAAACAAATAGCAAAAGCGTGTTTTTTTTTTTTTTCTATCACGACATGGAACAAACCTAGAAAAGATCAAGAAAGAAAACGTAATTAAAATTTTTTAAAATAAATTTATATAATAGATAACTTCATACCCAACTCAATCATTTACATCAAATGTAATTAAAATAGAACTAAAAAATTGGGCAATCAGACAACAGATCGAACAATATATATAAGAACAGATCAAAATCGACTCATAGTGTACAAAATAGAAAAATGTAACACTGTGTTTGGATTGAGTGATTTGGAGAGAAAAGAAAAGAAATAGAGAGAAATATATTTCTCCTCCTTGTTTGGTTATCTTAAGGGAGAGAAATGGGGAGAAATAGAGAGAAATGGAGAGAAACTCATTTCTCTCATAACTTTTATTTTCAATCTTCCTAAAAGTGGAGAGATTGGGAGAGAAAAGAAATCCACAAATGTTTATATTTTCATAATACCAATTTTATCCCTGTAAAAATAAAAGAAATAAAATGATTAAAAATATAAAAAGGTTATTTTGGTAATATAACATAAAATAATTTCTTTTCTTTTCTCTTAATGAAATCTAACCAAACAAGAAGGAGAGAAATCACAATCATTTCTTTTCTTTTATTTCTTACTTATCCAAACAAAAAGGAGAGAAATTACAATCATTTCTTTTCTTTTCTTTTCTCTTATTACTTAAGTAATCATTTCTTTTCTTTTCTCTCCTAAGTTACCAAACATAGCGAACAATCTAAAATTGGAATTATTTGACTTGATTTGGGACGTAAAACCTTCAAACCCATTTCTCAGTTTTGTGTGTATCTGTGAAAAAATCTTCACATTTGGTAATCCGTTATTCAGCAGTGGGTTTTCCACAAACAAAAAATAGACTACATTCAAATTGGAGGCAAATTTGTAATCACCCACAACAATGGATTTCACAGATGAACCCAACAGAACGGGTTGCAGGAGACGAATTTATGCCAAAAAAAAAAATCAAAACAGCAAAACAACCAGTTCTTGACGATCGTGGTGTTTTAGACGGTGAGTTATTGTTCGACGCCGCAAATGTGCACTCCGGTGGCGTTCGACTTTGGCAAGCTTTGCGAGTCTTCTTCGACGCCGTAGATGTGTACTCTAGTGGCGATCGGCTGTGGCAAGCTTCGTGAGATGTCTTCGCCATTCAGGGTCTCCTAATTGCCTCCTTCACTTCACCGTGTCTGTGTGCCCAAGAAAATGTGTTTTGTGTGTGCTGAGCCGTGCGGGTGTGAATTAGAGTGGGAAGGGGTAGTTTGGTAAATTCACCGGGGCCTGGGTTGCGTGAAGCACGTAAATGACTTTTGTCTGCTGGTGGCTAATTTAACTTTTTTTTAGACTATAGTGGCTAAAATAGTCCGAACTTGTCTGCTAGTGACTAATTTAACCTATCTTAAACCATAGTGGCTAAAATAGTCCAGACTTGTCATGCCAAACGGTGCCCGTATATCTCAATTCTATTATGATTAGGTGACAGTTATATAAAAATTATTAAAATGACATTTAAAAGTTGCTCAAAACACACACGGGCTCCTTTTTTTTTTTTATAATAATAATAATAAATAAAACGTAAATTACAAATACACTCTTGAAATTTATTTAAATTACAAATTATCTCTTATAGTTTTGAAAATTACATTATGCCTCCAAAGGTTTTTAATTTCATAACAAATAGATCATTTTATTAATAAATTATCAAGTTAATTAATAGTTCTTAATAATGTTAAAATTTAATTTAGATAATTTTATTATTGTATAGGTAAACAGTTAAAAATTTCACATTTTCAATTAATTCTGTTAAATAAAAAATTTTGACATGGAGGTATTTGTAATTTTTCAAACCATAGAGGATAATTCGTATTTTAAGCAAACTTCAGGGGTGTATTTGTAATTTATCCAAAAATTAAAAAATGATAAATTACACTCATCTCTTTTAAAATTACAAAAATAAATAAAGTAAAATATATATTTTCGTATAAAAAATGACAATATTATTTTTTTTCATTCATATAATTAATAAACTATTGATAAAATAAGAGCTAAGTATTATATAAATTAAAATTATGAAGGAATTCAATATAAATATGTTAAAATTATAAAATTCGCCCTGTAACCCGTGTACTTACATGTGTTCCGTCTATGGCTCCGATACAGTCCTGCCAACAACCCAATTGTATTGTTACTCCTACGGGTATATGTAATGGTTATTTTTCATACGTCACATCCACTAAAAAAAAAATAACGGGAAGGCAAACATAATTGGGTGAGGTTTTTAAATAGTACCTTGAACGGTAGGTATTTCCATTTAGACCGCACGTATGGATGTATATGATGCTGACTATATGTGGGCCGGCAATGAACAACAGTGAACTCCTTCATGGAAGTTAATACATTATGCGCGTTTCGGGACACAGTCTCCCCTGAATGTTGGAACCATTCTTGGATTTCCCGATTTTGCAACCCTCTCAACACATGGATAAACATTGCAACGCTTTCTTCAACAGGCACACATCCGACATGGCCATGTACTGGATGTTGCAATAGAGGTAAACAAAGACATGCTATGTTTGACAAACATTCAAAAGTAACAATGAATCGTAGCAGTAATTAGTTTTCGAAATCCATATTTCAAGTTAAACATGAACGGAAGAAGTTGATGCACAAGTTTCATAGAAGGGGTATACAAACTCATTATTTTATTCATTTTAATTATTGTTATATTATAGAAAATCGGCCTAGCAATTATGGTTTCACTATCAAAGTGTTAATAAAAAGGTAAAAGTAAATTTCCTTTTCAAACCTACCAGATAAAAATTCCCATTGGTACTAAATGTTGAAAAAAATGTCAAGAGATATGCAAGGGATTTGAATAGTATGACAAATATTGACAGACATTTTTTAGCAAGATTTGGTAAGAAACATCCAATGTCAAGACTTGAAAAGAAATCAATGAAAGCAACCATGAAACAAATCAGATGACACTGGAAACAAATTGCAAACTGGTAAACAAAGGAACATATAACTGATTGATGTGAGAGAATACGTCCATCACAGACAACTACAAACATTGGGAAAGGTGACACCAAATCTGTAAAATGTAATGGGGCTAAACTGTGCTGTTTTCTTTTGTTCATTTATTTTCTTTTCTTTAGGTGGCTAAGGAGGTCACCATGACATGTACCACAAATAAAATGCCTAGTGCTCAATTTGAATTGACCCCAGAAGGATATAAAGGAAAAGGCAACACAAACAGTAACAAGAAGCAATTCAAATCAATTCAATGGGTAGGAACAAAAAATTTAAAAATAGTGAGGATAATTAGTTAGTAAGGAAGAAAACAGTACAGATAAACAAATTCCAATTGATTGGATGACACATACCTATAAAAGCTATAAGACGGGAATATCAAACAGCTCATGAAGCAATAAATGTATATGCCATTACCAAGTGTTGTGAGGGGTAGGCTGGGTAGACCTAATTCCCAATATTATGTTAAATTTTATAGCAACCATTGGCCCATCATGTTCAACACTAAGCATCAACCTAAAATAAGAAAACTAAAAGAAGGCATGTGCATTGGTTGAGGAAAAAATAAAAGAAATAAATAACTCCACCATGACCAATCCTAATGACAGACAATGCACATACTGTTGCCTAGCATTCTGTCCCAAGCAAACTCAGTCAATGAGTAAAGATCACAAATTTGAACAATAAATAAGCAAATGTAACAACTGGATCACCCTTAGTCACCAAGAAAGAATATGGGAAGCACATATAAATACAGAGACCTGTAAGAATTGCTAATAAAAATCTACAATTAGCTAAAAGAACATAACCTCAAGTAATGTCAGATCCTTGAAAACAAATAGCAAAAGCGTGTTTTTTTTTTTTTTCTATCACGACATGGAACAAACCTAGAAAAGATCAAGAAAGAAAACGTAATTAAAATTTTTTTAAATAAATTTATATAACAGATAACTTCATACCCAACTCAATCATTTACATCAAATGTAATTAAAATAGAACTAAAAAATTGGGCAATCAGACAACAGATCGAACAATATATATAAGAACAGATCAAAATCGACTCATAGTGTACAAAATAGAAAAATGTAACACTGTGTTTGGATTGAGTGATTTGGAGAGAAAAGAAAAGAAATAGAGAGAAATATATTTCTCCTCCTTGTTTGGTTATCTTAAGGGAGAGAAATGGGGAGAAATAGAGAGAAATGGAGAGAAACTCATTTCTCTCATAACTTTTATTTTCAATCTTCCTAAAAGTGGAGAGATTGGGAGAGAAAAGAAATCCACAAATGTTTATATTTTCATAATACCAATTTTATCCCTGTAAAAATAAAAGAAATAAAATGATTAAAAATATAAAAAGGTTATTTTGGTAATATAACATAAAATAATTTCTTTTCTTTTCTCTTAATGAAATCTAACCAAACAAGAAGGAGAGAAATCACAATCATTTCTTTTCTTTTATTTCTTATTTATTCAAACAAAAAGGAGAGAAATTACAATCATTTCTTTTCTTTTCTTTTCTCTTATTACTTAAGTAATCATTTCTTTTCTTTTCTCTCCTAAGTTACCAAACATAGCGAACAATCTAAAATTGGAATTATTTGACTTGATTTGGGACGTAAAACCTTCAAACCCATTTCTCAGTTTTGTGTGTATCTGTGAAAAAATCTTCACATTTGGTAATCCGTTATTCAGCAGTGGGTTTTCCACAAACAAAAAATAGACTACATTCAAATTGGAGGCAAATTTGTAATCACCCACAACAATGGATTTCACAGATGAACCCAACAGAACGGGTTGCAGGAGACGAATTTATGCCAAAAAAAAAAATCAAAACAGCAAAACAACCAGTTCTTGACGATCGTGGTGTTTTAGACGGTGAGTTATTGTTCGACGCCGCAAATGTGCACTCCGGTGGCGTTCGACTTTGGCAAGCTTTGCGAGTCTTCTTCGACGCCGTAGATGTGTACTCTAGTGGCGATCGGCTGTGGCAAGCTTCGTGAGATGTCTTCGCCATTCAGGGTCTCCTAATTGCCTCCTTCACTTCACCGTGTCTGTGTGCCCAAGAAAATGTGTTTTGTGTGTGCTGAGCCGTGCGGGTGTGAATTAGAGTGGGAAGGGGTAGTTTGGTAAATTCACCGGGGCCTGGGTTGCGTGAAGCACGTAAATGACTTTTGTCTGCTGGTGGCTAATTTAACTTTTTTTTAGACTATAGTGGCTAAAATAGTCCGAACTTGTCTGCTAGTGACTAATTTAACCTATCTTAAACCATAGTGGCTAAAATAGTCCAGACTTGTCATGCCAAACGGTGCCCGTATATCTCAATTCTATTATGATTAGGTGACAGTTATATAAAAATTATTAAAATGACATTTAAAAGTTGCTCAAAACACACACTGACTCCTTTTTTTTTTTTATAATAATAATAATAAATAAAACGTAAATTACAAATACACTCTTGAAATTTATTTAAATTACAAATTATCTCTTATAGTTTTGAAAATTACATTATGCCTCCAAAGGTTTTTAATTTCATAACAAATAGATCATTTTATTAATAAATTATCAAGTTAATTAATAGTTCTTAATAATGTTAAAATTTAATTTAGATAATTTTATTATTGTATAGGTAAACAGTTAAAAATTTCACATTTTCAATTAATTCTGTTAAATAAAAAATTTTGACATGGAGGTATTTGTAATTTTTCAAACCATAGAGGATAATTCGTATTTTAAGCAAACTTCAGGGGTGTATTTGTAATTTATCCAAAAATTAAAAAATGATAAATTACACTCATCTCTTTTAAAATTACAAAAATAAATAAAGTAAAATATATATTTTCGTATAAAAAATGACAATATTATTTTTTTTCATTCATATAATTAATAAACTATTGATAAAATAAAAACTAAGTATTATATAAATTAAAATTATGAAGGAATTCAATATAAATATGTTAAAATTATAAAATTCATTGCATTTTTTTAAAAAATTTTAAGAAAAGTTAGTATAATTTACTCAATAAAAAATTAAGTAGACATTTTTTCACTTCTTAAAAGATTGTTTTGTATATTTAGTTTTTTAATAATTTTTTGAATTTTTACAAAAAAAAAAATTAAAAAAATAAAGAAAATAAATTGTAGTCACTTTTTAAGAAAAGGGCAAACTCCCCTTTACACATGTAGTTTGGGGTCATATGCGATTTATTCTCTTAATGTTTAGAAATAATTACATAATTTTCACGTGATTTTGTGAAAAAAGTGTATTATTAAACACTATTAAGCATTTTGTCTAATTTAATAGTGAGTAAAACACGTGACAAATATAAAAAAATTATATACTCATTTTCAAATTATAAGGAGATAAATCACACATGAAATAAATATATGAATTAAAATGCATCTTTCAAACATGGAGGATTTGGTAATAGACCTCTTACTGTTTAATTTGTCTTTTAAAATGACAAGAATTGTATAGATCCTTTCAAAAACCCCCAATGTTTTAAAACTTCTTTATTTTACTATACTACTCTCATATATATATATATATAGATATATATTAGCTTTCCTGTAAAGTCATCCTCACGGTGTATTTCAGAATAAAATTTTACTTTGAATCCTAGTAAACTTTACTCTGATTCAAAGTAAAATTTTATATCGTTAAGCACATATATTGCCTTAAAGGTAAAATTTTACTCTCATTTTATCAAACAAAAACAAAGCACATATGAGAGTAAAATTTTACTCTAATTTTATTAAACAAAAACAGAGTACATACCAAAGTAAAATTTTACTCTTATTCTGTCAAACAAAAATAGAGGACATACCAAAGAAAAAAAAATTAGAGAAATAGAGAGATAGAGAAAGCACATATATTGCCTTAGATTTGATTCAAACCAGAGTAAAATTTTACTGTCTAAAAAATAGAGCATGATGAGGAGACAAAGAGAAAAAGAGGAAGAGGATATAGATCTAAGATGATAGATCTCAAATCTAAGATCATCAATCTCAGATCTGAAGTCTTGGACGCTAAGGATGACGATGGTGGCATCGAATGGCGCTGGTAGTTAAGATGCTAGTGGTGAAACAGTGGTGGCGGTGGTGGTGACGAACAACATCGATGATTGAGACAGTGTTGGTGAAGACGACGGAGGTGATGGAAACGATGGTAGCCATGGTAGTCATGGTAGTAGAGATGGTGATGGTGGTGGTATGGTGGTATGGTGGTGGAGAGAGCTCTTAGAAAGAAATAGAGAAAGAAAGAGCTAAGAAGGAAATGATAAACTAATGGAGAGAAAGAAGAGAAAGATAGAGAGTGTGTGTGTGAAGGAGTAAATTTGTCTCATAAAATATAAATTTGAAAATTTTTATTTTTTATACAAGACTTTATAATTATATGGGAGTTTTGAAAGTATAATTTATTTATTTATTTTTGATTCTTAAAAAAAAAGAAAAAAATTTTTTTTGGGGGGGGGGGTTGGAAGTAAGAGTGATTTATGACCAAATTTCCCTTCAAACAAATGACAAAAATAAAGAAACATTTTACTCCTTTTCAATCGTTAATAATCAACTTCAGTACATTTTACTCCTTTTCAATCGTTAATAATCAACTTCAGTCCACAAACGAGGAGGGTTGTGGTGATTTTCGTTAAGGGTAAAGTGAAGTTTGACGAATAAAAAAATGAGATTTCTATGATCAATTAGTGTTGGATGCAGAGGCTGGAGAAGTACAAGGCATTACTAGGTACTCCTCGATGACCCTTTTGCCCTCACTTTCTATAATCAATGCTGGTTCTATATTTTATGGTATTCTGATGGGAATTTGTGGTGGTTTTAGGTTTTTTTTTTTAAAGATGTATAGAGTGTTGAATTCACCCATGTGTGAAAGAGGTGATCATCCAAGTTGGTTGGTCAACAATGGAAGGCAACCAACCAAGTCAAGCTTGGTGGCCACCATCCATGTCAAGGGTCAAGCATGGAGGCTACCCAAAGGCTCTCCCACCTACTCCCTCACCTATAAATGGAGGTTGAGAGGAGAGGCCAAAGTGTGAGTAAGTGAGTGAGGAAGAAAACCGTGAACCAAAGAGTGCGAGAGATGTGAGGCGGAGAGACCGTCTCCCTCGGTGTGAGCGAGGGAGACGGGTGAGTGGCTGAGTGAGGAGAGTGTGAGCTCCTCCTCTATTGTAATCTTTCTGTAATCTCCTCATTGGTATAGTGATAACCGGTTACTCTCCCGTGGACGTAGGCATTGGGCCGAACCACGTAAAATATTGTGTCTCCTTGTGTGTGGGTGTGTTTTTCTGCTTGTTTTGATTTCTATAAGGTCTTGGGCGGGATCCCAGATCCCAACATAGAGGAGGTAAGATATGCTTCACACCATGCATTTCATGCAGCTGTCAGGCGAATTACTGGTATCCTTTCTGATTTGTTTCCTTCTTATTTCTTGTTAATTGAATTGAATTCCAATTTAATTCTTGAATATTAGTGTTTAATTGGAATTATTCACTAATGTGTTTTTCACTGGATTTTTTATTATTATTTATTGTTATTGTTGGTCTATAAATGTAATTTAGTTTATTTCGGTTGCTGTTGGTTTGCAATTCTATAATACTGTTGATTGAGTTGGTTAGAAAATGAGTGGGAAAGAGAATACATATGTATATATATATAATTTATATATTGTATGTTGTTTGGATTTGAATTCATGAGAAGTCACTTCAACTTGATCAAATTGTTGTAGTAGGCTTAACT